GCGCCCGCCCCCAAAAAGTTGCACGGACTGTGGTGTGTTTTTCGGCAAGGACCCTGCCGCACCAAGGTTTTGAAGCCACGGATCAGGGCACAAACCCCGGTACGTTTGCATAAAACCAAGGAAAGTGCGGGCACGGATCAGGGCGCAAACCCGGGTACGGTCGCACAAAAACCGGAAAAGTGCGGGCACGGATCAGCGCACAAACCCGGATACGGTTGAACATGCCCGGCTGTACTTACCTGGGATTACCTGTGCCCTTGGAATGAAACTGTTCAAATGGAATTTTTCATAATTTCATACATTGTTGTGGCAACAAACCTCAGGCCGTTGATTTTTTTCTGCAATGTCTCCTGCAGGAAATCCATTTGTTTTAAATCCATCAGGATCAAACGGCTTTTCTTGCCACAGTTGAGGAAGCAAACTTACCCGAAAATGTTTGAAAACAAAACATGGCCCTCCTTGGTATTTTGTTGTCGACCTGGCGCTGATCCACTGCTTTGGGTTTCACAGCAGCTGTCCCCATGAACATCTCTTTGGAAAATTGGACCTTAAGTTTTTGTACAAGTCTTCGACCACAGACCATACAGAGCGTTGGAAAAAACCTGAGCCTGGGATTAGCACCTACTTTTGAGGAGTGGTTTGTCGATCCTATTCGTTCAGTTTGCTAACCGCAGGCCTTCTTAAAATTATCTATCTGCATAGGTCTGATTTTTTTGGGGGGGACCTTATGTTGACCCTTTGTAGCCTTCAAATTTATCCATCGGTTTTGGCTGAGACAGGGTCAGTCCCGGGAAAATATCCTGCACTGACAGGACACTGTTTTTTCTCTCCACATTTTCAGGTGGTCAGTGCAAACACGTGAATTGTTGAAACACTTCAACTCAACCACCAATTCCGGCCTCAAAGAACTCTCAGATAGCCCTCCCAAAAATGTCCAGTACCATATTTGCACATGATTCCCGGGCTCAACAGGCTCCAAGAAGAATCGCCATCGTCTGCGATCATGTTTCGTCTCCCTTCTCCCTTCTCTCTTTTGTTTTCTTGGTTTTCTTTGCTGTTCAAACTGGTTTCTTTCATTCTTCTCTCTAACCTATCTCTTTTCTAATTTTTCTATCCTTTTCTACTCCCACTAGACCCTAAAATATCCACCCCCCCAAAAATTATCAACTCCTTACTTGGGTGGGTATTTTTGGAGGATAGATCCCCTGGATAGGTTGCTGGCAGGCTGGCACGCCGATAAAGTCCAGGCCCTGACCCCACCAATTTTATCCACTCAGTACGGCCCCCTATGTTGAACAAGAACTGGTAAGCAAATGCATATTCTGTTGGTGGAAAGAACCGCATCTCACTGGAACCAGATTTACGATTCAACGTTTTCATGGAAAACGAAGGTGGTAGAAATCAATAGGAAGCACAAACAGAAAGTTTGTTGAATGCTCAATCCAATGCACGCTTTGAGGCTGCCGTGCCCCACCTTCAGGGTGCCGTGCCCAACGCGGATCAGGGCGGATCAAAGTGGGCAACACAAGCGAATGCTTAGTTTGCTGGCGTGGGTTAGGGCTTGGTACCCGTCCTGGGTGATGGTGCACGATCGCCCTGGCATATCCCAGTACCACGCCCTAACCCACGCCGCCAAACTAGGCATTCATTTGGCGTGGTATTTTCAACATGCGGTGCCCGCGCTGATCCGCGTTGGGCACGGCAAAGTAAGGCACGGCAGCATCCATCTTCTGATCGTTCCCCAACACTGCCAATGTTGAGGCCCCTGTGTGCACCTTCCTTTTGGAAATTCTTTGTCGAATTCCAACAATCCTGTTCCATTTAGACTGCAGGCATGTACCCAAACCAATCTAGCCATCCTCCACGCATGCCACTTGCCGTGCCGTGGGTGTGTTCAAACCCGTCTAGACGTGCCTGCGCGCATGCCACACGCCGTGCAACTGATCTAGCTGTGCCTGCGCCGTGCCACAAATGTTCAACCGACTTGGCCTGGCCAATGCACATGCCCCCCGCCGCGCCACACCTTTATTGTAAACCCAACTAGCCGTGCCAGCGCACATGCCACCCGCCGTGCCGCACATTTACAGCCGAAAGTAACCAAAAACAAATCGGATAACTTAAGCATACCCAGCTCATCTGAACGCATTGCATGCCGGTTCCCTACTTTTGCCCAATTATGTTCCGTTCATCTCAATAAACGTGTCTTCACATGTTTTCATCATTATTCACCACTTAACTTTGGTTGGCTCCTGAATAAAGAGCTGCATGTTCTCAGCACTGCGGACAAGCATACAAAATTGTTTTTGCCCTGGCGCACCCGCCCCTCCACCACAAAACAACTTTCAATGAACCCTGCACTATACTTTCTTCCATGGATTGTCATTCTGTGCAGAAAACTATTTAGCGATAATATATTTTTTACCTAATCTGCAACATCCATCAACATCCTACGCCTTGTCCTTCCTATAAGATAAGAATATATATATATATATTATATAAACACGGTTGTCGCCCGCCCCTACCTGCTTTCCTTAGGCATATTACTTCGCCAAAATTATTTGGAGAGGTGACGGTCCCCTCAAATAATTTGGCACGGCTGGGCCTATTGGCAAGAGCACACTGCTGCGGCAAGGTGGCGGCACCCTGCAGGGGCTCCAGCGCCCAAGCTTTCAAGGGCACATGGCAGCGGCACAGCACCAGCACCCAAGCTCCCGAGCGCACACAGCAGCAGAACAACGCCCAAGCCCCAAGCTCACACAGCAGCGGCACAAACACCCAAGCTCCCAAGCGCACACAGCAGCACCAGCGCCCAAGCTCCGAAGCGCACACAGCAGCAGTACCCTGCAGCGGCACGAGCACCCAAGCTCGAGAAAACACACCCGCAGCTCTTCCTATACTGGATGGAACAGCAGCGGCACCCTGCAGCAGCACCAGCACCCAGGCTCGAAAACGCACGCATGCAGCTCTTCCTATATACTTGAAGTAAGAACCCCAATATTCAATAGTTCGCGCTATCTGGGAAAAATATGGGAACATATCGTTCAGTCACCTGCATTCTGGGGGTGGGGCGTTCAGCACTACACTCAAGAGATGCGTCTTATAGCTAGCAAGACAGTCGAAGGTGCCGGTGCGTCTTACAGCTAGCATGCGCCCAAGACTAACATGGAAGGCACTCAGTTGCCTCGTGAGTGGTGCAAACAGAATGCACAAGCGAGTATAATTTCCAGTGCACAAGCGAGTGCTCGCCCTGTCCCTTCCATCTAGCAAAGCACCATGCTTTGTATCCTTTTGTCACTGCAAAAGGAGCCACCAGCAGGACAATGCTGTAGCACAAGAGTTAAAGTGGTGCGCTGGCCATATCTAGCTGCTAGCTCACCCAATTAAACTATCTACTCAGTGATCATTAATCTCAAGGGACATGCTCAAAAGTATGGGGTATAAGCCAAAGTGTTCTCAAGGGTTCAAGTCACGATATTTTTTCAAGCCAGGCATGCTTGCGTTCGAAAAGTAGAATCCCAACAACCGAATACACACAGGAGGGAGTCGAAGAGAAAGATCCCTCAAAACTTCCGCAAGGGTAGTGGCCATGAAACGACACGTTGTAAAATCCTGTTTGCTGAACTGGAAGTTTGCAATGCAAGCTGCCAATGTCCAGTGTCGGCGCAGTCAAGACGTCGGCTGAGTGGCTATTCCGGAAATCCTTTTCGCATGAGATACCACCAATACCTTGCAACGTGCACGGCTTTAATGTGTCAAGGGTGATCGTTTCGTCACAAAACCCGTCGCAAGACCACATTGAAAAGTACACCACTAAGGCGTCGACATCGAGACTAATTCACCAACATTAACAACGAGTCCTTTTCGCCACAACCCATCAACCGTGGACGCCATTCGCCACCAGTCACGACTCAGAGTCGTTAGCGCATCACCACATCATGACTCCACCACACATGAAAGCAATCAGCCTAGCTCGCACCTTCTTATGGGTAAATCATGGGCGGAGAGCGGCGGACACGTCAGAGTCACGAGAGTGCCTCGTATTCATCTGGCTGACAATGACCAGCTATGTACGTCACCGCTGCACCTGATGTTGTATCGTTGGTCGTGTGGTCCACGCGTGGTTTGGATTCTCAATGTTGGCTGGTCATTTGTGGGGCATCGTGTTCGTCGTCCTTGCCGCCGTTCGGACGCCAGGTTTGCTGATTTGGCTGGCGGTTCTCACCGCTGGTGATCACGGTGACATGTACTCCATCCTCAGTTGCACCCCATGCAATGCGCATTCATGGATGCGAACCGTGACCCAGCGCACCGTGTCGACCGACCCATTTTTCGGCCACATGAAAAACATCAGCCGTGCCGGGCCTTGCGGCGCCTCCGTTGATAGAGGGATGCCGTGGTTCTGGCCTTAGGAAGCTACTGTACCTTTTTGTATCCTTTGGTCACATGAAGCAGGGGGAACTCAGCTATGGCTTCCATCGCCGAGGGTCGTGTCGCTCAGAATCCTGTCCTCTTAACTGGACCCGACGGTCGGGCGCCCGTGCTGCGACCAAGCCTTCGCCAAATGAGAGGCGACCGACTCAGAGGGAAGTCTTGATCCACTCTGCGACGCCGTCTCCGGTCGATGGGTGCGCTGCTTGGGAACTTGCGCACCGTTCCCACCGTTGACTCCCGGAGCCATCAGCGGTCCACTGCAGGTTTCGGTGCGCCGTTTCGGTGGTACACTGCGCGACCTCCACGCCGAGGCGAAGGCTCGGTGTGGTGCGCCGGATCCGATCGTCCACCGACGAGTCGAACGGTTTCGAACAAGAGGCGCCAATGAACGCATGGCACCGTCCTCAGTGTGCTAGATCTAATTCTGAAATCGATTTGCTTCCGCGAAATCCGCTAAAGTTTCGTTCTCATCCTTTCTCATGTGTCTGCTTCCTTCTTGCCACGCAAGAAGTGCAAGCACCAAAAAGACCCTGCAAGCACCTGCCACTGCCGCGGCCGCCCTTTTTTTTCCCCACGCAAGGTCGACGAAGGGTGAGGGAGACACGGTGGAAGCTCAGCGCACAAGGAGGCGGCGCTGCACCTGCGAACGAAAAGTCGATGAGACGACCATGACTATTCGTGACTCTTGACGTCTCTTGACCATGCCTTTCAAACTTCACTCTGGTCTATTGAGATTCTCTTCAGTTTGAAAGGTATACTGGTTGTAGTATGCAGTATGTTGATATTTCGTCATATTTCCTAACCCAAAGCAGGCTTTCAACTCAACAACTGCATCGATGATGGATGACTGATGGACATCCAGGGCCCCGCAGCTCCACCCTGCGAACGCAGGGAAGCCCTATCCTAGGCGGCCCAGGTCTCCAGGTCTTGAGTCGACTGGGCCTTAGGCGGCCGGTAGCCACATGGCAGGGCCGGTGGTGCCAACGGTGCCGTTCTGGAAGAGCATGGCCATCAAGGCCACCATCGCCTGGCCGTGATATGCGACCCACCCGCCCCTGAGATACCGAAAAATTGCTGTTCCCGCGCGTCTTCTCAGTTCCAGGTATACTGAATTGAAGAGAGTTCTTGGAACATGTTGAACAGTTTGGAAAAGTAACGACCTGGTCACAGTCGTTTCACCCTCCTGGCTTGATTGAAGACCTCGATGAGGTCGGCACCTCTCTCGCCCCGAGAAAGAGATCCACTCCAAACAACCGGGGCCCCTGTCGAAGGGGCAATCTCGCCCAAGTCACCAGGCGGCCGTTGGCGATCTCGGCCGCCAACTTGGTCTTCTTCACCTCGGCTGAAACGACGAGAACGGCGGAGACCTGCTCCGGTGCTCAGAGACATGCTCTGGGGACAGGCTCCGCCAGGCTGCGAAGACGGGGTCCTACACTACGAAGCACGGAGGATAGGAGGGCGTCTACACTCCGAGTCCCCATTCTTGGGAGTGGAAAACTACTTCAAGGAGTTCGCAAAGTAAATTAGAAACCATCTTTCAAGGGGTACTTTGCAGCAGCTGCAACCACACGTGAATCCACCTCACACATCCATGTCCCAGCATGTCAGAGGCATGTCCCAGCATGTCCCCAGCGAGCCTGAAAAGTGAAAGCAGTGTAACTATACCCCAAAGTGAAAGAAGTATATACCGTATACCCCAAAGTGAAAGCATTGTAACTATACCCCTGCAAAGTGGTATATTCACGCAGCAAAATAAGTGGCCATAAATATATCGGGACCTGGAAATGGACATCCCACACGTCCACACTGCGAGCTGCGTGAGGATCCAGGATCCATCCACCGTCGCGATACGTCGCGAGCAAACCGTCCTCGCCTGATCGTCCTTGAACTCAATGGGTTCAAAGTTAAAGATAAAGTTCCTCAGCGAACGCCCGGCGCAAGGAACAGGCGATGGTGAGAGCCAGTTCCAGCTATATGAGAACAGCTGCAAAAGTAAAGCACCGTTGGTGTGTCTTGTGGGGCGTTTCCTTGCGGCTGATACGAGCCAAAACAAGGTGATTCATGCATTACAGTTTGGATACTTACTGTATACTATATTATATATATACCCTGTTGGATGGATTTATCATCAACAGTTGGACATGGGAGTGCGCTGCGAAAAGCCGGGGAATGTGAGTGTGCCATGACATTGCTGGGGTTCGGGGATTGGTTATACGTGACCAAAATTATGAAACAGGCTCGGCTATGGCCGTCCCTCACATGTCCGGCAATTCAGATGCGTCCAAGCGTCTTGCCAGTACCCAAGAAGCCGTAGCCTGCAAACAGTTCTCGTTGATGGAAGCGTCTGAACTGTGTTGTCTTGGCAAGCTGTATCCAGGATTATCCAAAATAGATGTGACGGGTGGTGCTTAAAGAAGCTGCAAGTGTTGTCTGCCTTTGAATATCTAGGTACATCATGGTACATCTATAGGTACATGACAAACGTATTGCATGAAACAACCAACATACAAGTACAAAAGTAAAACCTGCAGAGTGGATGCCAAGAAGGCTTATTGTCATCATGCAGATCAATTTCAAGGATCCAACATGAAGGCACACGCTGTCAAATGGGTAGAACTTTAGAAACACATGACTTGCGGTAGATCAAAGATTTCGGCATCACCGTTTTATTCAGTCTATTTTGTGGGGGGTCCCAATGTTTTAGGTTTTTGAGTGAACATGGATCTTGTCACATCTTCTCGCCACACAATCATCCTCTTCAGCCTCCAAATCCCATCTAAGTCTAAGAAATCGAGTTGTTAAGATGTGTTCTATGTCTGTGATGCTCTAATATGGTCTATGTACATTAATAGATAGTACATAGTAATTAATGTGTCTTTTTTCATTGATCTCGTCATCTACCCTCTACATCCGTTGAACGATCTCCCCGAGACACGCGGTGGCGGCAGCGTGGCGCCACGGTGGCGGCACGCCTTCGTAGTCACCGGGCGCGCGCTTGGGGTCCTGGCGCCAGAAGTAACCTCAGGGCGCCCGTGGAGGGTGACCGGCTGTTGGGAGGGCAGAGTGTGGCAATCCCTGTCAAAGGCAACTCAGGGCATCGCTACTAGTAACAAGAAGCTACTAGTAGCTCCATAGTATTACCTACTAGGAACAAGAAGGCTACTAGGAGCGGCTGGGGCATCGCTACTACGTGACATTGGATCCATGGGGCTGCCGGGCGGCCTTTCACACGTGGTCCCACACGTTGTCCAAGAGACCACGGACGACACGGACGACACGGATGTGGCTTCCGACACCACGGTGTTCAACAGGGTGGCCCTCATGTATTCAAGGGCTCCACTGAGACGCTGTCATTCGGCTACCCTCTTCAAGGATAGCTGTTGATGTCTACCATCCTGACTAACTCAACTGGTCGGCTTGAGGCCGGTGAGATCCAGCTGTGGAACACGCTCCAGCAGCGTTTTTCATTGGATAGAGACTTGATGAAGTCAACCCGGCATATCCATGCATATTGTCTTGGGAAATTGTAAAGTTAATCTATACTTTCAACCCTCCCTTCTTTGACATGTGCATTTGATTTATCACCCCTGGAACCAGAGGAATTCCTTCCGACCCAACTTCTGGGCTGTGCCGAGCGACCCTCCATGTGGCCAATGAAGAGCGCGATCTGAACCCAGCCCTCCAAAGGCACCTTCCATCCAAGGTCTGTGGCACGGTCAACTCCCAAAGAGAGTTGTGAAGGTGGGTACAACCCAAGGAGCACCAAGGAGCGTTAGATATACTAGTAGCATCTAGTAGCTTCTTGTTACTAGTAGTAAGGCCAGGAGCTAGTAGCATCCTTGCTCCTAGTAGCGATGCCCTTTGTTGCTAGTAGCTTCTGAGCTTCTTATTACCGGACATTAAACGATCCGGGATGTTCCGAGCAGCGGCGATGCCTTGGAGACCGCGGCGATGCCGTGGGGCATGTCGGCGAACTTGATGCCCTTCTCCGGAGACAGGTAGCCAGGCCAGCGGAAGTACTCCGGCACGATGTAACCCACCTGAGATCACCGTGGCGCCCGGGTTCAGGCCAGGAGGCTCAGAAGCTTCGAAGAATGAAACCAGAACCGTCGAGTCGTCGATCAAGCCTGGGAACTACAGGATGTCAACGGTGAAGCTGGTGAAGGCTTAGCTGGAACTTGGAACCATGTTGGATCGAGGAATCTGCACCTTTTCGCTGCGATCGGTTGGAATACTTCGAACAGGATCACCTCCGGCATCATCGGCCATTTTCACCTGACCACCGAAATAGGGGTCAGGAACAACCACTCCCTTGTGGGGTGAAGAAGTCTTCCCAACCCATCCAGGTCGAAGTCGAGAAAGAAGTGGGACCCCACATGGACTCGAAATGTCTCGAATTCTCGTCTTTGTCATGTTGCAACATGTGTTTATTTTTTGTGTGTCCCGCTTTCAATCGATTCCTGTCATATCCCCATCAGATATGCCGTCTCCGCAGTCAACACATTGCTTCTCGTTGCTGCCCCGTGGCGCAAGCCAGCATGCCTCATGGGCTGGAATGGACGAAAAGGGGGCGAGAACGTGATCCAACGTCTGAGCGTTGAATGACTATGACTCATGACTCATGACCATCTATGACCATTCATCAAGAACTGATCATCCACATGTTGGATCATCAGAATCCCTATCTGAGGACAGTCTCAAAGCTATGGGTTTCTCATACCTGGAAGAGCAGGTTTATTGGTACCCCCAAACACCACCGATCGGCACACCTAGTCAAGTCAGAAGCTCTTCAGGATGCACCCTCTCCTTCCGATATGGCTGTGGATCAAACTCCGGACCCCCCACTCCCTGGTACAGTAGGCTGACCTCTCTAAGTGGTCTGTTCTCTTCATTTCGGTGGTCACCCAAAATTTTCCCCAGAGCCATGACCCACAGCCATATTTGGAGAACTCAAACCATGAAAATGTGGAGATCTTCACTCACATCTTCACCTCCACCAGTCCAGATGCAGCGCCGAGCCTTGGAACCATCGCCGTCTTCACCCTCGCCGCTCCGCATCGCCCCCCGCTGGCGAGACGAGTGGCAAATGCGGCCGTGCTTCAGCTCGACCGCCCGGCGGCGCTTGAAGGTCTCCACCTTGACACTCCGGAGATGACTGGCCAAAAAAAAAGGTATTCAGCTCCAAACTCCTGGAGTAACATGGCCTCCCTCAAAAGTCGAGGAACAAGTGCCACTGGAGTCTCACCATGGAAAGCCTTCCATGCAAGTTTTGGGTTTGTCTACACTTGCCCCCCCCCACATGTCTTAGATGGTGGTCCTGCTTAAGTGCACGCCTTCTCTCCACGGGGTAGATGCATAGTCTGACGACAAATTGTTTCTGTACACACGATGTGTTCAAAAAGGCTCCAAACGCTCCAAGATGAGTCAAAAATGATCTATACATAATTAACTGATCGATTGATCACAATTGGGTGGTTTCAGATGGTTTTAGTTTTAGTAGTTACATGTAAATCATGACATTGACATTGACCATGATCTACGAGGAGCATTTGGGGGCATCCCCCCCGTCCCTGGCGTCCGGAAAACTGCAGTCTCAGCGGCATCGCCATCAGCGGAAAGGCCCAAAGGGTCCCAGTAGCCTACGGGCGCCTGGACGCCCAGCTCACCTTCACCGATTCGGATGAGGAGCCGTCACCCCGCCGTGTTGAGGGAGAGAAAGAGGTTGTTCCAGAAGTTTCTGCGGAACGGAAATCCTGTTTGGTGATGGTGGTGGTGACTCCTCAGGTTTTTGGAGTTTGTTGTCCGTCGAACCAGAAATCAAAATGATGAAAACCTATACAGGTTTTGGATTCTTTCTTCCTGGTTGTTTCAATATATGGTCTCTCACATCACCTTCGCAAAATTTGCACAACATTTTAAAGATTGGATCTGTTTAGGTTGGATATGTTTCGACAGTCCGTGCGATCGGCCCTTGGTTTGAAGACATTCTTGCCTCAAGCCTCCTACTTTACATTGAGACGGGACGTC